GGGGGCCACGGGAGGTTGGTCAGCCGGGGGGGAGGGGCTGCCAGATTTTGGCCAGCCAGCCCCCTGATCAGGGCCAATGGGGGGGCCGGAAGGCAGAGGGAAGGGCCACGGGAGGGGGACTGGTGGATCAGGGAGGGCGAGGGGCCACAGGAGGTTGGCCAACCATGGAGAGGGGCCACAGGAGGTTGGCTGTGGGAGGGCACTGACCACCAGGGAGAAGCTCTGGTGGTCAGTGCGTGTCATAGCGACTGGACGACCAGTCGTTGCGGTCATTTGGTCATAATGGTCGCTTAGGCTTTTATATATATACTAGAGGCCCGGTGCAAAAAATTTGTGCACTTGGGGGTGTGGGGAGTTCCCTCAGCCCGGCCTGTGCCCTCTCGCAGTCTGGGGCCCCTCGGGGGTGACCACTTGCTGGCTTAGGCCCGCTCCCTGGGGGATTGGGCCCAAGCTGGCAATCAGACATTCCTCTGGCAGCCCGGCAGCCCTCGGGGGATGTCCACTTGCCAGCGGGGAGCAGACCTAAGCTGCAGTCAGACATCCTTAGCGCTGCTGAGGAGGCAGGAGAGGCTCCCACCACCACTGCTGTACTGGCAGCCATCAGCCTGGCTTGTGGCTGAGCAGAGCTCCTCCATGTGGGAGCTCACTGACCACCAGAGGGCAGCTCCTGCATTGAGCATCTGCCCTCTGGTGGTCAGTGTGTGTCATAGTGACCAGTCATTCCCAGTCCGAACTGTCATCCTCTGCCGGCCTCATGGCCCCAAACTGCCCTCCCCAGCTGGCCTGATCGCCCCCAACTGCCCCCCCTGCCGGCCTGCTCGCCCCCAACTGCACCCCCACCAGCCTCATGGCCCTCAACAGCCCTCCCTGGCCAGCCTCATGGCCCCCAACTACCCTTCCCTGCCAGCCTCGTGGCCCCCAACTGTCCTCCCCTGCCTGGTTTCATGACCCCGAACTGTCATCCTCTGCCGGCCTCATGGCCCCAAACTGCCCTCCCCAGCTGGCCTGATCGCCCCCAACTGCCCCCCCTGCCGGCCTGCTCGCCCCCAACTGCACCCCCACCAGCCTCATGGCCCTCAACAGCCCTCCCTGGCCAGCCTCATGGCCCCCAACTACCCTTCCCTGCCAGCCTCGTGGCCCCCAACTGTCCTCCCCTGCCTGGTTTCATGACCCCGAACTGTCATCCTCTGCCGGCCTCATGGCCCCAAACTGCCCTCCCCAGCTGGCCTGATCGCCCCCAACTGCCCCCCCTGCCGGCCTGCTCGCCCCCAACTGCACCCCCACCAGCCTCATGGCCCTCAACAGCCCTCCCTGGCCAGCCTCATGGCCCCCAACTACCCTTCCCTGCCAGCCTCGTGGCCCCCAACTGTCCTCCCCTGCCTGGTTTCATGACCCCGAACTGTCATCCTCTGCCGGCCTCATGGCCCCAAACTGCCCTCCCCAGCTGGCCTGATCGCCCCCAACTGCCCCCCCTGCCGGCCTGCTCGCCCCCAACTGCACCCCCACCAGCCTCATGGCCCTCAACAGCCCTCCCTGGCCAGCCTCATGGCCCCCAACTACCCTTCCCTGCCAGCCTCGTGGCCCCCAACTGTCCTCCCCTGCCTGGTTTCATGACCCCGAACTGTCATCCTCTGCCGGCCTCATGGCCCCAAACTGCCCTCCCCAGCTGGCCTGATCGCCCCCAACTGCCCCCCCTGCCGGCCTGCTCGCCCCCAACTGCACCCCCACCAGCCTCATGGCCCTCAACAGCCCTCCCTGGCCAGCCTCATGGCCCCCAACTACCCTTCCCTGCCAGCCTCGTGGCCCCCAACTGTCCTCCCCTGCCTGGTTTCATGACCCCGAACTGTCATCCTCTGCCGGCCTCATGGCCCCAAACTGCCCTCCCCAGCTGGCCTGATCGCCCCCAACTGCCCCCCCTGCCGGCCTGCTCGCCCCCAACTGCACCCCCACCAGCCTCATGGCCCTCAACAGCCCTCCCTGGCCAGCCTCATGGCCCCCAACTACCCTTCCCTGCCAGCCTCGTGGCCCCCAACTGTCCTCCCCTGCCTGGTTTCATGACCCCGAACTGTCATCCTCTGCCGGCCTCATGGCCCCAAACTGCCCTCCCCAGCTGGCCTGATCGCCCCCAACTGCCCCCCCTGCCGGCCTGCTCGCCCCCAACTGCACCCCCACCAGCCTCATGGCCCTCAACAGCCCTCCCTGGCCAGCCTCATGGCCCCCAACTACCCTTCCCTGCCAGCCTCGTGGCCCCCAACTGTCCTCCCCTGCCTGGTTTCATGACCCCGAACTGTCATCCTCTGCCGGCCTCATGGCCCCAAACTGCCCTCCCCAGCTGGCCTGATCGCCCCCAACTGCCCCCCCTGCCGGCCTGCTCGCCCCCAACTGCACCCCCACCAGCCTCATGGCCCTCAACAGCCCTCCCTGGCCAGCCTCATGGCCCCCAACTACCCTTCCCTGCCAGCCTCGTGGCCCCCAACTGTCCTCCCCTGCCTGGTTTCATGACCCCGAACTGTCATCCTCTGCCGGCCTCATGGCCCCAAACTGCCCTCCCCAGCTGGCCTGATCGCCCCCAACTGCCCCCCCTGCCGGCCTGCTCGCCCCCAACTGCACCCCCACCAGCCTCATGGCCCTCAACAGCCCTCCCTGGCCAGCCTCATGGCCCCCAACTACCCTTCCCTGCCAGCCTCGTGGCCCCCAACTGTCCTCCCCTGCCTGGTTTCATGACCCCGAACTGTCATCCTCTGCCGGCCTCATGGCCCCAAACTGCCCTCCCCAGCTGGCCTGATCGCCCCCAACTGCCCCCCCTGCCGGCCTGCTCGCCCCCAACTGCACCCCCACCAGCCTCATGGCCCTCAACAGCCCTCCCTGGCCAGCCTCATGGCCCCCAACTACCCTTCCCTGCCAGCCTCGTGGCCCCCAACTGTCCTCCCCTGCCTGGTTTCATGACCCCGAACTGTCATCCTCTGCCGGCCTCATGGCCCCAAACTGCCCTCCCCAGCTGGCCTGATCGCCCCCAACTGCCCCCCCTGCCGGCCTGCTCGCCCCCAACTGCACCCCCACCAGCCTCATGGCCCTCAACAGCCCTCCCTGGCCAGCCTCATGGCCCCCAACTACCCTTCCCTGCCAGCCTCGTGGCCCCCAACTGTCCTCCCCTGCCTGGTTTCATGACCCCGAACTGTCATCCTCTGCCGGCCTCATGGCCCCAAACTGCCCTCCCCAGCTGGCCTGATCGCCCCCAACTGCCCCCCCTGCCGGCCTGCTCGCCCCCAACTGCACCCCCACCAGCCTCATGGCCCTCAACAGCCCTCCCTGGCCAGCCTCATGGCCCCCAACTACCCTTCCCTGCCAGCCTCGTGGCCCCCAACTGTCCTCCCCTGCCTGGTTTCATGACCCCGAACTGTCATCCTCTGCCGGCCTCATGGCCCCAAACTGCCCTCCCCAGCTGGCCTGATCGCCCCCAACTGCCCCCCCTGCCGGCCTGCTCGCCCCCAACTGCACCCCCACCAGCCTCATGGCCCTCAACAGCCCTCCCTGGCCAGCCTCATGGCCCCCAACTACCCTTCCCTGCCAGCCTCGTGGCCCCCAACTGTCCTCCCCTGCCTGGTTTCATGACCCCGAACTGTCATCCTCTGCCGGCCTCATGGCCCCAAACTGCCCTCCCCAGCTGGCCTGATCGCCCCCAACTGCCCCCCCTGCCGGCCTGCTCGCCCCCAACTGCACCCCCACCAGCCTCATGGCCCTCAACAGCCCTCCCTGGCCAGCCTCATGGCCCCCAACTACCCTTCCCTGCCAGCCTCGTGGCCCCCAACTGTCCTCCCCTGCCTGGTTTCATGACCCCGAACTGTCATCCTCTGCCGGCCTCATGGCCCCAAACTGCCCTCCCCAGCTGGCCTGATCGCCCCCAACTGCCCCCCCTGCCGGCCTGCTCGCCCCCAACTGCACCCCCACCAGCCTCATGGCCCTCAACAGCCCTCCCTGGCCAGCCTCATGGCCCCCAACTACCCTTCCCTGCCAGCCTCGTGGCCCCCAACTGTCCTCCCCTGCCTGGTTTCATGACCCCGAACTGTCATCCTCTGCCGGCCTCATGGCCCCAAACTGCCCTCCCCAGCTGGCCTGATCGCCCCCAACTGCCCCCCCTGCCGGCCTGCTCGCCCCCAACTGCACCCCCACCAGCCTCATGGCCCTCAACAGCCCTCCCTGGCCAGCCTCATGGCCCCCAACTACCCTTCCCTGCCAGCCTCGTGGCCCCCAACTGTCCTCCCCTGCCTGGTTTCATGACCCCGAACTGTCATCCTCTGCCGGCCTCATGGCCCCAAACTGCCCTCCCCAGCTGGCCTGATCGCCCCCAACTGCCCCCCCTGCCGGCCTGCTCGCCCCCAACTGCACCCCCACCAGCCTCATGGCCCTCAACAGCCCTCCCTGGCCAGCCTCATGGCCCCCAACTACCCTTCCCTGCCAGCCTCGTGGCCCCCAACTGTCCTCCCCTGCCTGGTTTCATGACCCCGAACTGTCATCCTCTGCCGGCCTCATGGCCCCAAACTGCCCTCCCCAGCTGGCCTGATCGCCCCCAACTGCCCCCCCTGCCGGCCTGCTCGCCCCCAACTGCACCCCCACCAGCCTCATGGCCCTCAACAGCCCTCCCTGGCCAGCCTCATGGCCCCCAACTACCCTTCCCTGCCAGCCTCGTGGCCCCCAACTGTCCTCCCCTGCCTGGTTTCATGACCCCGAACTGTCATCCTCTGCCGGCCTCATGGCCCCAAACTGCCCTCCCCAGCTGGCCTGATCGCCCCCAACTGCCCCCCCTGCCGGCCTGCTCGCCCCCAACTGCACCCCCACCAGCCTCATGGCCCTCAACAGCCCTCCCTGGCCAGCCTCATGGCCCCCAACTACCCTTCCCTGCCAGCCTCGTGGCCCCCAACTGTCCTCCCCTGCCTGGTTTCATGACCCCGAACTGTCATCCTCTGCCGGCCTCATGGCCCCAAACTGCCCTCCCCAGCTGGCCTGATCGCCCCCAACTGCCCCCCCTGCCGGCCTGCTCGCCCCCCCAACTGCCCCCACCAGCCTCATGGCCCTCAACAGCCCTCCCTGGCCAGCCTCATGGCCCCCAACTACCCTTCCCTGCCAGCCTCGTGGCCCCCAACTGTCCTCCCCTGCCTGGTTTCATGACCCCGAACTGTCATCCTCTGCCGGCCTCATGGCCCCAAACTGCCCTCCCCAGCTGGCCTGATCGCCCCCAACTGCCCCCCCTTAGCTTTGTCTGGAAGGTCTCCTGGAAGGTCTCCCGGTCTAATTGGCATATTACCCTTTTATTAGTATAGATCAGGGGTCCTCAAACTTTTTAAACAGGGGGCCAGTTCACTGTCCCTCAGACCATTGGAGGGCTGGACTATAGTTTAAAAAAAAACTATGAACAAATTCCTATGCACACTGCACATATCTTATTTTGAAGTAAAAAAACAAAACAGGAACAAATACAATATTTGTATTTGCATGTGGCCTGCGGGCCGTAGTTTGAGGACCCCTGGTATAGATAGATAATACTCAATATTCATATTATCAAGGAAAAATAAAAGATGTATTTGTTTTTATTCAGAAATTACACATTTAACTTTTATATAAGCTAATCTGCTACAAGATTTTCATATTAATCTACACTAATAAAAGAGAAACATGGTAATTGGCGTACAACCGCTACCCTTCCCATTGGCTAATCAGCATATCCTTATGCAAATTAACTGTCAGCCAAGATGGCGGCCGGCAGCCAGGCACTGAAGCGAGA